TATGAAATATCAGATTAAATTCATTATAAAATAAATATAATAAAAAATATTTTCCTTTTCTATCTAATTCTTTTTCAGATATAATTTTCAGATATAATATATTCAACAGATTTATATATATATATATATATATGAATTCATTTATTCATTTATTTATTTTCTAATTATATAAAATATAATAATACAGATATTCATTTTCTTTTTCCTCAGATCTTCTTGAATTTATCATATATAATTAACAATTCCATATGAATTATAAGAAATATCGATTATATAACAACTATCTTTCTCTTCAAAAGGGAATTCAAGGATTAAGCAAGCCAGAGTCTCATAAGAATATAGAGACTATAAGTTTGAGAAACATATTCAAATAATATAGATTAGTGCCGAATCTCATCTAAAGGAAATCTTCCTCTCTCCTATTCCTGATGTCGTAAACTAACCCCTTGGTGTCGAATCTTTATCATTGGCTCGGCCGAGTGCCGCAGACGAAAGTGGCCTTGTGCCACCCCCTGATCACCCTACTACGCCATGTTGTGGGAGATGCTAGGGAGCTGAAACAAACTGAAAGCACCTTGCATTGCAAGGCATGCGGAGGCCTGCATAGGTGACGCTCCGGCTGTCGATCATTTTTAAACATGGAGACTCCCAAAAAGATCCAAGAAGTGGAGCTATGCCAGCCTTCATCACGATGAGCATTTTCGGCAGTCCCCACATGAAACCTGCCTGTATTGGTCTACCTGGACCCGTAACCTGTGACCAAGTGCAGGCACGACGCCGCAAAAGCTGCACCCTCCGGGGTCCAAAAAATAGCCAGATGAGACCTTTTGAACCAGCGAGCCGGAGGGGTGCAAATCCTGATCGTCTCAGTTTCGCAAGGGAGGACGCATCGGGAGCAGCCGGCGCAGGGCAAAGCGAGCCTATGCTCATGAATTGCCCCACACCCCGGATAACATCTCACTCTCCTATGCTTTGCGTGCCTCACATGATTTGCAGTATAACCCTGAAAGAAGATGTTCACGGGGTACCAGCCAGAATTGAAATCCTCTGGCTGAGCTGTGTCTGCATCTGTCCCTCCCCGGTTCTAAGATCAACGTATTATATCTGAAGGGGGTGTTTCCGAAAATAGGGGATCCTAATATAGTACCCAAAATAGTAGGATCCTTATTCGTATAATAAGGACCCCAAATAAAGTACCCCTATAGTTGTCGGAAACACCCAATATAAGACTAAGAGATTAAAAGTCCTGGCCCGGCGTAGCCTCAGGGGTAGCCGGAGCTCTCCTTGGATGCCTGCGGGCCCGCCTGTACAACGGCCGGCAGGCACTGCGGAGCGTATTCCTCAAAATTTTTCCTGGGTTGTATTTCTGGGGCCCTTAACAAGTCTTTATAAATAGGTGCCTCCATAGGAACTAGAAAGGGAAGTAAAACACGTCTCCCAAAATGCCTCCAAGTTGCTGGAACAGCAAAGCCAACCTATACTGAACTTAGAACCCTAGCAAATATTTATAATTGTAGCTGTTTCTTAGGGATTATAATAAGCAAAAACAATATTTCTAAGTACCCCTAAGCAACTTGCTGGCAGCAGCCCAAAACTCTGCGGAGGACTGGCCTCTCGACCTCACAGGGTCCAAACCCCTTAATTAAGGAATATACCTCAAATTATAATAGGAGCCCTCATATGATTTAAGGTATACTCCTTAATTAACGGATATTGGAGTCTGTGGGCAGGGCACCGTGACTCCTATAATCCTATACCCTGAACCTACCTCATGAGCCTAAATCCTAAACCAAGAACTGTCATCCTAAACCCCAAACTGCCCTAAACCTCCCTCATAACCCTAATCCAAAAAACAAAACCTGTAATCCTAAACTCTAAACCCGCCTCCATGCATCCTCAGGGCAGAGGATCTCGTGCGGCACGCCCTTCACGGCCTTCTTGGAGGCTCGGGGGACTTAGTAAGTAGGTAGTAAGTAGACTTATAAGTACCCTAAAAGGGACCCTAATTGGGGTTATGGTACTTCTATAAGTCCCTAGAATCCTAGAATAACCAGTTACTTAAGCCCTTCACGGCCTTCCGGGGCATGTGCAGACCAAAGATGGGCAAAGGCTCCCAGTCCTCGTCCTCCGGGGTTCTTGTTCAGCTTAAATTTCATTTTTCAACGAAGAATATAGTTGAAGCTACCCTCGTAGGGGATCTATGGTAAGTAGATCTAAACTTAAGTGTCGCGTGTCATAGAGTCCAAGAGGAACTAGAAGTTAACTCTTGGCACGGTATATAGTTATAGTATATTCGGGTTTTAAGTTATAATACCCAAAACAAACTAATGGAGACCTGCTCTACTAATTGATAAGGAACTCAATTTAAGCTGCTATAGTCATGTCCTCCTAGGGGGTCTACAGTAAATAGATGTAAACAAGCATGTGGTTTCCTCATTTTGGTCACTTAAGTCAAGTTCCTGATCAAGAACCCAGTCCTTCAGTGCCGCCAGAGTGCCGTCATGCACAGCATCCACCAGCTGGCGTGTGAATTTTAGCGGGCACCGTTCGCCGATGCCGTAGGCGCCGCCCACCCAGCCGGTGTTCAGCAGCCAAGCATGGCCACCGTGCTTTTCCAACTTGGCGGCGAGCATCTCTGCATAGTGGTAGGGGTGCATGGCCAAGAAGGGGCCCCCGAAGCATGCTGAGAAGGTCGCCTGTGGCTCTGTGACACCCATCTCTGTGCCAGCGACTTTGGCGGTGTAGCCGGAGATGAAATGGTACATCACCTGCTCCTTCGTGAGCTTTGAGATGGGCGGAAGCACCCCAAAGGCGTCGCAGGTCAGGAGGATCACATTGCTGGGGTGGCTGTCAATCTTGGCAGGGATGAGTGCGTTGGGAATGTAGTGCAACGGGTATGCACACCTCGTGTTCTCCGTCAGGGAGACGTTGTCGTAGTCGACCTTTCGGCTCCACTCGTCGAAGACCACATTCTCCAGCACGCTCCCGAAGCGGATGGCGTCGTAAATCTCAGGCTCCTTCTCACGAGATAGGTTGATGCACTTGGCATAGCAGCCGCCCTCGATGTTGAAGACACCCTTGGACGTCCAGACATGCTCATCGTCTCCGATGAGTTTCCTGGCTGGGTCGGCGCTGAGTGTCGTTTTCCCAGTGCCACTGAGCCCGAAGAAGAGCGAGACGTCTCCCTCAGGGCCCACATTGCACGAAGAGTGCAGTGGCAATGCCCGCTCTGCAGGGCCCAGATGCCTTTCTGGCCGCAGAGGCATGTGGTACATCATCACCGTGAAGACACCTGGGTTTTAAAATTTAGTTTCCGGGCTCTTAAAGATATTTATAAATCGGCACCTTTATAGGCACCATAAGGGAAAACAACAAGTTTCCCAAAGTGCCACCTAGACACCCTTCTTCATCTCCCCCGCATACTGTGTGCCCAGGATCACCATCTCACCCCGACAAAGCGACAGGGACACGGAAGTGGTCGAAGTCATACCAGCCGTGTGCCGGTTGCATGGGAAGCAGCCTACCGCAAACCAACGGGCACGTCTCCCCTAACCTGCCTGCGACTTAACTCCCAGCATCCTCAAACTACCACGGTAGCCACTCTGACTTCTACCCATCTCCCCCCCTTCTCTGCCCCCTTCCGCCTGCATTGAAGATCACAAAGGGCCGGGGGAAAGTGTTAGCCTCGAACTGGTAGAGCTCCGACTTCGAGGGCGGGACGAGCATGTTCTGCATGAAGAGCGCGTGATACGCCCGAGAGGTGATGACACGGATTGGGATTCTGTACTCCTCGTCCCAACCTGCCGGAAGAACTTGGAGGTTCATGGGTAGTTACAAGTTAAGTATGGTAACTCGGAATATGCCCCATGTTTAAGGACTTTTGCGCTGTTTAAACCTACCCTGAGGGAACTGCTTAAACCTACCCTGAGGGAACTGACTCAGGGTGATGCTGCATGCTGGTGTTGAGCTGGGGCTGCATTAGCAGTGGCTTCATTGGACAATGGCATGTAGAAGCCGCGTCCCAGCCTGCGAAGCCATCCACAACGTATAGCCTCTTCTGGGTGTTCAGGTAGTCCACGGCTCGCTCACGGTTGATCTCGAACACGGCCTGAGCAGCATGATGTGTCAGACGGCCGATAGCCGTCCAAGGTTAAGATTTATCACTAGTCACTGGCCGAGCCCCTCGTGCCGACTACACCCAAACCCGATGCAATGACAGGCCATAACTCGAAACTCACTTCGCATTCGGATTCTGGCCTCCTCCAACTTGATGTTGACCTTCCCCCACCAAATGTCACGCACGCTGTCGAACTCCTCCACAATGCGCTTGTCCTGCTTCCGAGCTGCGGCAGGGAGAGGAAACTCACGGCATCGCCTAATTGTTTAATGCCAGGCACAACGGTTACCAAGGGAATCGCAGCTGAAGTCTGAACAGCATGAGTCCAATTCCAGGTTCCCGCTACACTCAAGTGGCCAAAACATCCCAAAGCGGAAACACAAAAGGCTCTCAAACAGAAGCTTAAACTTTGCCAACATTCTTCCGCAGGGCTCCTTAACAAACATGTACAATTACTAATGACATCCCGAAACCCGCTAGATCTTCTAATTTCGGAACCTCAGGGTATGAGGGCTTTGGGTGTTAGGGATTAGGGTTTCGGGGTCTAGCTCTTTTGGGGGAGTCTTCAGGCTCCCTAAGCCCTAAACCCTAAAACTAGGAGCTAGTATAAGGGAAACCCTCGGAGCTATAGACCCTCTCAATAACGCCCCTTCTAAAGAGAGCCAGATGTAGGATTAAGAAGGGTCTCCTTTAAGGGGTCTCTCTAATACTCACTGGCCCAAAACCCAAAAGAAAAAAAAATGAAGCTTTCAGAATCGACTACCCTCTAAGAACCCCAAAAGTTTAAACGTTGAGTTTACAGCCCAGCCAATAAGAATACCACTTAGGGAAAAACCCTACATGCTAAACCCTGGCGATACTAAGCCCTCGAACCTTCGGAGATCGCCCAGTCTTCTTGCCGCTGGTGACCGACAGGGCACCCGAGGCCGTGATGAAGCTGCCTCGGGTTCAGGGTTTAGGGTGTAGGGGGTCTATACTTGGAGGTTCCTGGGCAGTTATAAGGACATGGGGCATCAGTAGGGTTCCTTGTTCCTTTAAGGGCTATATAGGGTTTAGGGTGTAGGGCTATAAGTCACCCAATATGGGTTATAAGTACAGCTAGCCTACTTATAACCCAGGAACAGACACCACACTTGGAACCCAAAAAACCAACCACTCAGTTAAAATGGGCCTGCAGCCTTACAAACTGAACTGAACCCCAGAAAAACTAAACACTAAACTCCTTGTCCGAAGCCCTAAATCTGCATGCATGAGTTCACACACATACATGTGTGTATATATATATATGCACATGTCATTAAACCAATGTGTCTAAAGTATATATATATATATATATGTAGACACTGTATATACACACCTCTTGCACCGGAAAGCTCTGGCGAGGCGCCTTCCTCATGACGCAGAGCCTGCTCGTAGAGCACAGCCGGACTGGCGTTGTAGTAGATGTCCTTGACCTGTCACAAAGGTTCAGGGTTTAGTGTAGGGGTTTAGGGTTTAGGGCTTAGGGTAGCGCTGCAGAACCCGAAGAAGTGCAGAACGCCCTAGAATACAAGCCGCAATACTTCTCGAAATCTTTAAGTCTGCTTGCACAGCACGTCCGATGCCGAAATGGGTCAAAATTATGGTCCCTTGTTGGGGTCCCCGTTATAATACAGCACCCACTATTTAGGGTACCCAAAAAGGAACCCTAATTTCGACAACCACCCAAATCAAGCCTTGCACGCTCAGCCCTACACCCTGCAACCCATTGCCTCAAGACCAAGGTCGGATGCTTGGTCCAGGATGTCGAACCTGGGCTTCGCAAGGGTTACTTGGAGGTTCATGGGTGGTTTTGAGCGGGGTTTACTGCAATTATATACAACCAATCTAGGGGACTAATAACCCCACGTATAACTACCCATGAACCTCTAAGTAGGAGTCGTCGCTTTCAGGCTTTTGGGGTCTAAGGTTCCAGAAGGTGTCCTGAAAAGGGGTGCCACAAGGTTGCTTAATGGGTGCTTCAAAGCGGTCAAAGCGGGTTTTTTTGGATGTTAAGACTTTTGGCGTAGGGTTGGGGTTCGGAGGGTTGTTTCTCGCAATATAACTATAAATTCGAGGATGTTCTGCACTTTACTGCCGTGCAGAGTTGAGGATCTAGGTTTTAGGACTGAGCGGTTTCGGGCTTGAGGCCAGGATTTCAAGAATTGGGAAGGGGGGGCACAGTGCAGTTTCTCCTCTGGTGGTTCTGGAAACTGTATTGCCTCCGTATGTATGTATGTATGAATGCTTTTCCAGTGTTGCTGTTGCCGTTCCCGCTACATCTGCTGTTGCTGCCGCAGAACTCCTTCTGTTTGTTGCATCACAGCTATGGCCGAACCAACCCTGTCTACCACTACCGGCCACCGTGCATGTTTCTGATTCTTACTGCAGCGCCAGATGCTCCTACGAGGTATGTGAATGAATGAAATACCAGCCATGGGTAGTACTGCATACTCTCCATGCTACCAGAACCACTACGACCACGACAAGTACTTGATGCATGTGGAGCTCTAGTCCTTTGTCTTAAACCCTACACCCTAAACCCTACAGTATCCTATATAGTCCTTTGTCTTAAACCCTAAACCCTCTCAACCCTACAGTATCCTATAGTCCTTTGTCTTAAACCCTACACCCTAAACCCTAAACCCTACAGTCTCCTATAGTCCTTTGTCTTGAACCCTAAACATTTAAGATCATGGATCCAAGCCCTCAAAGCCGACAAAACCTAGCAGGCCGGCTTGTGGGACTTCTATCGGAGAAGGAAGGGATACTGTAAGCTCCTAAGAAGCAAGCTTTGAGGTTTCTTCGGTCCACCATCTTGGGTTTCAGTTCGGGCTTTTGCGCATTGGGGTTGTGGGGTTTAGGGTTTCCGGCTTCGGGCGTTGAGGGTTCAGGGGTTTTGGGCTTCGGGTGTTTGGGGTTTAGGGGTTCAGGGCTTCCAGTTCAGGGTGTTCTGGTTTTGGTGGTTGAAGGTTTCGGCTTTAGGGCGTTTACGGCTTAACTTCCTCATCCTCCAAAAACCCAGAAAACTCCGAGAAGTCTGGTGGCTTGGTGCGGCTGAACTCCTGGCTGAGCTCGAAGGCATTCTGAAGCTCGTTACTTGTCGCGGTGTCCTGAAAGCTAGGATACAGGGCGGGTTAAGGGCGCAGGGTTCGGGGCTGGAATACGGCCCAAAAGACACACAGACCTCAACATAGCAGCTACGGTCCTTCCCGACATTCAGGTGCTGTCGCAGGGACGTAGCGATGCTCTGCTCGAGGTGCTTGGGGCATGCCATGCTCTGAAACGGCACGGGGGTCGAGGGCAAGCGAAGGAAAGCAAGAGAAAGGCTGATGCCACTGATGTTGGCTGATCCAAATCTTGCAGGCCGAACATGCTGGCTGCCACTCCTAGAGACTCCAAAACCGCTTAATTAAGGAATATACCGGAAAAAAATAGGAGCCCTAGTATGATTTAAGGTATCTTCTTTAATTAAGGGGTTTCGAAGGCTCTGGGCTGTTTGCTCACCCGTTATAAAGCCCAGTAACGAATTCGAACTCACTGTCATTATTTCGGAGGCGACAGCGATGACAACTTTGACGAGGAGGAGCAGTGCGAGGAGAAGGAGAAAGTGGACAAAATCACATGGACGCTCAAACCCATCCTAAAGCACGCTCAACAGCTCTGAGCTGGTGGCCAGATGGCGCCCACGTCGAGGTGCCGCAAGTTGAAGTGCTTTGTGCCCGCGTCCAGAAGCCACACCCGGCGGTGGAACCCTAAACCCTAAACCCTATAAACCCTAAAACCCTAAACCCTAAACCCTGGTCATGGCGTGGCACAGCCGCGTGTGCCGCAGCAGCTCTGCGCGACTGAACTGTGTCACGCCCATGAGATTTCGGAGACCCTTCACCTGGAGGCCGGAGCCACAAGCTTTTGGTCCTCAAGTTCCGGGTGGCCGACGCTTTCTTGAGCATGGACCGAAGCCACCTATAGTCTCCATTGTAGTTCGTTTTTGGGGGCTACCTTATAGGGTCCTTAACATATAATTGGCTAAACCAAAAAAGAAGCTACAACGGAGACTATAGGCAGTATCTATTCTTGGAGGACTCCACCCTGGGGACCCTAAGCTGGGCGGTGCTGCCGGTGGCGCCTGCACGGGGACGCGGCTGGCCGCTTGGATCCGGATTACGCCTTGGCGACCTACGTCGAAGCGACCACCGAAATCCAAATGGGAACCGGCGAATTCTCAACGACTACGATTTCGCGGAGCTACCCCACGGGCGCCACGTCCACCCGGCCCCTCTCCATCAACCACCGGTTGCAGGTCTTCCGTTTTGCCGTCATGAATCCCTGTTTGCGGTTCAGCACGCTGGCCACCTCGGCCGACATCAAGGGTCCCCCCGGGCAAGACATCATTTCTAAAACTGATATCGACAAAGGCGTGGGCTCCAGCATGTCCAGCCACACGGACGAGGGCCATTACGTTAGATTGCACGGCCACATTACCCCCCGATGTCTTCGCTTTAAGCTCTCCGACGTGGACGACAACGTGGTGAATACTCGTGCGTCGATGGCCTCGCCTTTCTGAATTTGAACATCAACCCTGGGAAGAGCACAATGCACAACCCCTAAACCCCCAAAATCCCCTAACATCCCCTAAATCCCCTACTTTCCCCCCAAATCCTTAATCCCCTGACAGGCCCTAGATCCTCTGGCTGCCGGCAGCTTTTCCGAAGCAACCGAGGCATCAGTCGATGTCGATCGGATCGTTTGCTGCCTTCCTTACTTGAAGGTTCATGGGTAGTTATAAGGGCTCCTTTAAGGGTCCCTTTAAAGGCATCTATAGGGATTCTATAAGGGTAGTGGGTATAGGGTTTAGGGCCAACTTGAAGGTTCATGGGTAGTTATAAGTGGGGTTGTAGGGTTCTTTGAAGGGTTCTATATAGGGTTTAGGGTTGGTTTAGGGTAGTTACAAATGGGGTTATAAGTCCCCTAATCTGGGGTATCATTATCGTTACCCTACTTATAACTCCACTTATAACCACCCATGAACCTCCAAGTAGCAACCACCGACCCCGCCCTCTGCTGGGCTTAGGGTTTAGGGGTTTTGGGGTTGGGGTTTAGGCTTGAGCTGTGTTGGGTGGGATTCAAGCTTTCTGCAGGTGCTTTTTGATGCCTGATGGGTGCTTCTTTAACATGTCCTGTTGAACTACGAAAAAAAGTTATGTCTTTCTTCCACGGCACGGGCTCGACACAGGACGACAAGATGGGTACCCAGATGGCTGCAGTTTTCAGGCACTGCAGCTTGAAAACCTAAAACAAAAGATGGTGGTTCGGGTTGGGTGCTTGCTCGAAACCAGCCAGTGGCATGCCGAAATGCTGGTTACCAATCCCGCGTTGGAGCCAAAGCAAAGCGAAACGGGATGATAAGTGCAAGCGGTTGTTGTTTCAAGGAGAAACCCGAAACAGAAACGGACAAATGAGAGTGGTGCAACTATGACGAAGCTTGCAAGGGCCAGCACTGAGCACGAACCCGAGCCACTAAACCCGCAAACGCTCATGCTTGTTAGGGCTCTTGCAACGGGATTCGCGACAAAGCCCCGGCGAATCCTCTCGAACGGGTCTGCTGGCGAGGTGCTGCCCTCTATTCCGCCGTCGTGGGGCAGCCTGCCAGGGTCTAGGGAGTCTAGGGCCCAGGTGCAAGGCCTAGGTTTGGGGCGAAGTCTTGGCCTGAGGGCGTGTGGGGGCCTCACGAGGTGTGGGGGGTGATCTGGGGTTGGCTCGACCATAGTTGTCCAGCAACCTAGGGCAACCAAAAGCAAACCTCTGGCATTATATGGGGCTGAATAAAAAATGCACTGAAAATGCTAAAGGTTACCTGCTCTGCTGCTGAAATATCGTCTTCAAGGTTCCAAGTGCCCCATGTAACCTGACTGTTGGTTGGGATTGGGTTGGTGTACCTCCACTCAGGCTCTAAGCCCTAAACGCTGCACTGTTTAGGGTTTCGGATTCCAGTGCTGAGTGCTTCGGTTTAAGCCTGGGCTTGGGGATGCAGTGAGGGTCTATGGGGTTTAGGGTTGAGAGTTTAGGGTTTACTTGGAGACTCATGGGTAGCTTTAAGTAGGGTTTCAGTCCACAGATATGGTTTAACTAGAGTTACCCTTCTTATGAAGCACTTACAAAGTAGGGTCAAGCGGGCGGGGACGGGGACCGAATCACAGTAGGGCCTGAGGGTTCGGAATCGAAGGTGTGGTTCGGGTTGCGGGTTTCTCGGATGGTAGAAGATTGCCTTTGATAAGTCAGAGTCAAAAACGCTGCCCTAAAACATAAACCCTAGTGCCCTGGTCCTGAACCCAGCTCTACATTCTGGCTTTATTCGTCCACGTGTCCAGAACACCTTGATACCCGGGCTATGCAAAAGCCCATCGCCATGCACCGACCAGACACACAGACAAACACGCTCGCACGCACAGAGAGAGAGAGAGAGAGAGAGAGAGCGAGAGAGACACACACACACACACACACACACACACACACACACACACACACACACACACACACACACACACACACACACACACACACACACACACACACACACACACACACACACACACCTGCAGCATGTCCTCCTACTCAAAACCCTGAACTTAAAACGGTGGCTGAACCCGGAAGTACAGCTGACAACCATCATCCGAGAGTTGATCGTGCCTGTTGGCTAATCAGGACGATTTCAGCTTTATGGCCCTATGGCCCTGGGACTTGGGAGTCAATCTCAAGTTTGTCAATTCGTGGATCTACCCAGACGCCCCATAGTAGTTCATTTTTGGGATTACCTTATAGGATTGTACGAACCCCAAAAAGGAACTGCTTTGGGGCCGTTGGGTAGGTGTTTAGGCTTCGGGGCTTGGAATTTTGGACGAAGATGCTGAGCTCTCAGAGTCAAGGGCTTGGGGCTTAGGATTTAGGGGTTAAGGTTTTCGGGTTTAGGGTTTAGGGTTTTGAGCTTAGGATTATATAGGGTTTAAGAGTTTAGGTAAGATCCTTGGTTCAGGATCCGCCCTTTGAGGCGCCCTGACGGTTTGAATCTCTGTGCCCCCTCGGGTGGCCTTCTCCGTGGTGGGAGTTACCTCGACCACCTCAACTTCCTCCAGTCCGCCAGAAACGAGCTTTAGGATTGGGGTCAAGGGCTTAGGGTTTCGGATTTTGGGCCCTGTCGTGGTAATTTTGAGACTACATTCTTGAGTGGTTGTCAAAATTATGATCCCCGTTCTTGTGTCCCTAATATAGTACGGCACCGAATATTTAGGGCACCCAAAAAAGGGACCCTAATTCTGACAACCACCCTCTTGTCTTGGCTAAAGCTTCAGCAATTCGGAAGTTTGGGGGTTTCGCACGTAGGGACCTTCGACTCACATGAACATTGTCCCTAAACCCCCAACCCTAAACTGCAAACTCTAAACCCCCAAACCCTAAACCCCAAGGCCCCGGAATCGCGTGGTCAGCAGGATGTTTGGGAGCATAGGGTTTAGGGTGTCGGGCTTGGGGTTTTAGGGTGTCGGGCTTGGGGTTTTAGGGTGTCGGGCTTGGGGTTTTAGGGTAGGTCGAACCTTTGTCCCGTTGGATGTATAGGACGCTGCTAACAAAATCGCTAAATCCTACAATCTCTCAGCCCCAGAGGCGTGAAGCCCTGCACCCTCAACATCCTATAACGTTGTGACACCCCTGCACCCTATACCATAGCTTATAACTTATATCCGTGGGCCAAAATCCCTAGCTGTTTGCGTAGTATAGAGAAACCATAACAAGGAACCCCAAAAGGGTAGGTTTTTCAGCTACAGGTATAACTTCTACCCACCACCCTAAACCCGAAGCCCTAAACCCTAAACCGCCATAACTCGAACCCTAAACCGCCATAACCCTAACCCTAAACCGCCATAGCCCCAACCCTAAACCGCCATAACCCTAAGCCTGAACACGAAGCCCTATTCGACTCCCCAGTCACTTGAGCCTCGGCCCTCCGCCGTTTTCGTGGCGCCGGTTTCGGCGCCGCGACTGGAGGGGAACCATCCTGGGCTCTGTTTCTGGGTTCCTTTAAGGGTTCCTTTAAGGGATCTGTAAGGGTTCCTTTAAGGGATCTATAAGGGTTCCTTTAAGGGTTCCTTTAAGGGTTCCTTGAAGGATCTATAAGGGCTCTTTTAAGGGATATATAAGGGATCCTTTAAGGACTCCTTGAAGGGTTTAGGGTTTAAGTGGCTCTTTTACTGGGTTCTTGTTAAGCGATTTAGCTTATTAAGTTACCACCATCGGGATCCATAGTAAATAGTACGGTTTCCTGGTTATGGTAACTTAAAGTAAGTCCCGTCACAAGAACCCAGGTTGAACATCAGGGTTTGGGGTTACAGATTTAGGGTGTAGAGGCGTAGGGGTTAGGTTTCGGGTACAAGTTATGGTCTCTTTTTTTGAAAATGTTGGGGGTTGGGGGTTTACAGGTTTAGGGTGTAGCGGTTTGGGGGGGGAATAGGGTTTAGGGGCGTAGGGGTTAGGGCTTAAAGGTTTAGGGTTTACTGCGTAAGCTTCACCCGTCGCACAGCCTGCGGAGGTGTGGCAGGTCTACGAGACCTTGTCTGCCGTGCCCAGGAACCGTGGATCGCTGAGGCTGTTTTTGGTTCAAAAAAAGGCGTCGATGGGGCTTAGGCCTCAGGTCACGTAGTGGCGAGGGTTGTTCTTTCAGGATTGTCATAGGAAGGTTCTTCTAAGGACTTCAGACATTGCCTCTCAGATTGCATTGATCCTTTTTATCTTCACGTAGGTTATCAGCCGTAGCGGCTTAACTAGCTGAGTTACTTTTTCAAACACTAACTAAGTATCTCTGTTAGGTTCCTTGGCCATGGACCCTCTGATTCGTAAAAGGAGAGCGGGTGGGGCTGAGGAACAAGACGGAGAGGTCCGCGAAGAGGAGTATCGAGCAGCCTTGAGTCAAGCAGGCCCTGATGCGGGGCTTGGCAAGGAGGTCAGTGGAGCCTCCTTGAATGGCTTGTTTCCTGGGGAAGCATCTCCAGGGACGTTGGAGAGCGGAGATGCTCTTCGGCAACCGGGCAGCAGTGTGCTGCCTACCAGTCATCCTTTCCACTCGGATCGAGTGAGAGCTGAAGTGGAGCTCATGAGGAGCCGTCCGGCGAGTCTGGATGAGGATGCTAGGCGTCTTCGGGTGGAACCCGATGCTCCCGCTCTCGGGGAGGGTGGAGGAGCAGAGGGAAAAGAACCGGACTATGTAGGTGCGCTGGCTGGTGTGGGAATACCTGCAGCGGCGGCGCGCGTCGCACGTGTTGAGGCCACTGAGGAAAGTGCACGAGCGGTCCGGGATCTGGACTGCTCGCCGACTGCTGGACGGGAGGTCAAGGCGGTGCGGAGTGGTGTTAATCAAGATCCGACCGTTTCTGGGGAGGCTACCGTTGGATATGCTAAGCCGGAAGGCAAAGACGAGTTGCTGCTGGGTCCAGATCCATTTGGACTGGCAGAGGACCCACGGGAGCTGGTTCCGGAAGCTGAGCTGGATAGGATGGGTCGGGTGGAGCAGTTGCTCACTCAGGCCTTGGAGGAAAATAGGCTGTTGAAGCGGCGCCTCGACCAGGCGGAGTCTCGATCACATTCGAGCTGGCATAGCGGCTTGGCGCAGCTGGATCCTACTTTCTCCCCGGCGACCTTCGGACCCAGAATGGGTATGGATGTACAGACTCTGATTGCCAATGATTTCCCGGGTCAGACGGCGATGGGTGTTGAGGGGTCTAACTTCGGAGTTGGTAACCCTAAGTGGGATGGACTCTTTCCAGGGGGACCGCACTCTTGGGCAGGGTCAGGACTGGAAGTAGCTCTACCTCAGGCTAGGGCTAGAGGCTTGGAAAGCTTTCCACCAGGAATGCCACCTGTACTTAGGAGTCAGACTGCCCAGGCGCCACCACCACCTGTACCTTTGCCTCTGCCCCCGATCCCTGGTCACGCGGCCCCAGTAGATACCGTGATGGATGAACAAAGGGGACATACTCAGACGATGAGACAGTTTGCCGAACAGGCTAGGATGGGTGCTAAAGGGACTGAGGGCTCGGGATTTCATACACCCAGAGGGAGTCAGAGTGCTAACGCAGGGTTTGATTCAGAAGGGTATCCGTTGTTTTTGGGGGGGACGGCGATTCGCCCTCCTCCACTGCCTCCTTCCACGGGAGCCTGCGGCACGGCCTTTGCAGGTGCGCCCTTGGGCCTTCCGGGTTACGGTGGTGCAGGGGTTGCTACGGGTTCTTCAGCAGGGTCTGGGGAGCTCGGTGGTCTTGGAGTTCCTCACCTTGGGGCAATTTCGGGGACCGTCGGAGGTTCAGGGACTGGCGTACCTGGAATTCCGGTTGTCGGGGTGAACTTCGGGTCTGTAGAAGGGCAGGGAGTTGGAGTACCGATTTCTTCGATTGGGATTCCCGGGTTAAATGGGGCTCGGGGCGGCGAGTTGGTAAGGCCTGAAGAACCTGCCCGCTATATTTCCGAACTCCCTAAGCTTGTCCAATCGGATCTAGCTAACTCCGCGGTGATTTGTGGCAATTGGTTGGCGCAAGTGCGCCAAATAATGGTTGGGCTTTCGACAAGCGCATCGGTTTGGTGGCAGGGTGTGGAAGTGCCAGCTACCGCTGCTTATCGTAGATGGCTAGTCGCAGATCCGCTAGGGCGGTTAAGTATTGATCCATCTACGGTGGTTGGGGAGTTTGATAGGCATCTGTATGGCCGGGTGGAAAGTAGGTCCGTAAGCTTGTTACTAGCGGCGGTTCCCCAGTCCATTAGGGATGATGTGGTTACGAATCGTTGGCTTTCTAGTGCGGCGGTGCTTTTCAGAATACTCTGTTTGTTCCAACCGGGCGGTAGTAGTGAACGGTCTCATCTGTTGTCTCAGTTGGTTAGCCCAAGCGTGTCTAAGTCCTTTGCAGAGGCTATTAAAAGTCTCCGAACATGGCAACAAGGGTTGCAAAGGGCAGGGGAAATCCATGCCACCCTTCCTGATCCGTCGTTGCTCTTACGGGGGGTGGACACCTCTACGTCGGCTTTACTTAGTGCTCATCCGATGATTGGGTTTAGGGTTAACGCGTTTCGTCATCAACTAGCTATCGATTATAACCCGACTGTGGCCAACGTGGTACAATTGGTGCGATTGATACAGGCTGAATGTGAAGCGGCCTCGATTACTGCTGATGCGAATGCGGACAAGAAAACACGATTAGCTGCAGCGGCAGCAGCACGTGAGCAAACTCCAGTGCCGGGTGCCCCAAAGGCGCCTCCACCTGCCCCTCCTGCAACAGGTCCCGCGTTGTCGCAGGTAGCCGCTGTGAATGCAGTTTCTGTGGAACAGCCGGATAAAGGGAAGGGCAAGGGTAAGGGGGAGCAACCTTTGTGTCATAAGTTCGGTGATGGTACTGGTTGTAGGTTCGGGGATAGCTGTCGTTTTAAGCATGACCGTGCGAGGGCGCGGAGAGAAGGGAAGTGCCTAGCGTGTGGCCAAGGAGGCCACATGAGACCCGACTGCCCTATCGTGCCGGCGGAGCATCGAGTTGTGATTTCGGATCAGGGGTCTGAGACTTCGCCTAAAGCTGGGCCTAAGGGTGGTAAGCCTAAAGCTAAGGCTAAGTCGGGGGCCCAGGCTAAGGGGGTTAGCGAAGACGCTAGTCCGAAATCCGAGAATGCAAGCGCGAGTGTCAGTGCAGCAGCGGCAAGCGGAAGTCCGACCATCACGCAAGAGGCTCTGGTTGCGGAAGCAACGAAGCTGCTAAAGGGGGTTTCGCTGCGTGCAGTGCATGTAGATGACATTGATGTTTCTTGGGTGCATAGTGCTCTGATTAATGCGTCGGACCCTTCCTTCGCCCTTATAGACAGTGGAGCTACCAATGCATTACGCCCAGCGGAACCCGGAGAGTCGGAGCAGTGCCGGATCATTCGAGTGGACCTAGCGAGTGGCGCTACGGAACTACGGGTTAATGAAGTCGGTACCCTGTTGCATAATGGAGATTGCCAGGTTATCTTACCTGCGAGTTATTTGGTGAGTCTGGGTTATGGTATCAATTGGAAGAAAGGGGGATGCAAGGTGAAGCATCGAAAGCATGGTTCTCTGGACGTCACGGTGGTGAAGGGCTGTCCTTTGATACCTAGGTCGGTTGGGTTGAGGCTACTTGAGGAGTACGAGAATAGGAAGAGGGGTGTGCCTCTGATTAGCAAGGCCGAGATTGACGACCTAGGAGCTGGGGTTTCTGTGGACTCAGCAAGGGAATGGATTAGGGAGCGAGTGAAGCTTCGAGGGGATGAAGGGTTGACGGACGTGGATCAGTTGGTCTTTCTTCGGGCTATGTTTCCTAAAGTTCCCTTTCAGTGGATAGCGAGAGCCTGTGCTTCAGTGTCGAGTCCTGCATGCGATGATACGCTGGAGCTGCCTTGGAATCGTAGACTTAGGAGGTCGGTTGATAGGGCGTTGCCGGGGTCTGTTATGATTGCGGTTCCTCCCTTTGCGGCTTCTTGGAAGGGCCTGGGCCGGGTGGTCTTGGTTCCGGACTCCGAAAAGGGTTTGGGTTCCAGGGCAGTGTTTCGGCAGTTGATGCGATGGGCTCAGAGTGGCGTCATTGGGGGAACGGTTAAGGGTCCTATCTTAGATGGCTGTGATGCTGTTGAGCCGAGTGGGGTAGATAATGCCGATTGGGTATTAAGGAATCTTCGGTTGCTGCTGGTATTCGCAGTAGCGCAAGCGGTTAGGGATCAAAGCGAGGATGAGGTAGTGACCTGTGGCTCGGAAGCCTCCAAAGCGGGTGCTGGGGATGGTGAAAGTCGAGTTTTTCTCGCGGTAGATCCTAGGGCATGTTGTGAAGCGCTGTCTGTTGAGAATGGCGAACTGAAGAGTACTTCCTTCCAGTCGGTGTATGGTTTGAGCGTGGCGTCCTTTGACCAGGGGTGCTTTGGGTCTCTGGAAGTTGAGGCGACTTCTTTGGTCACTAGCTCGTGGTTCTTGTTTGAATCCTTACATGAGGTTCGGGTTGAGTCTGGCTTACGCGC